ATTACACATGCAACAGAAAGAAAGGGGGGGGGGGGGGGGATTGAGGGGGCATGGGGGGGGCATCATGGCCACCACGTTTCACACTCGAGTTTTTAAGTTTAAGACTGGATTCAGACACTTTCATCAACAACCAACGAGACCAAACCTGTGGCTCAGTGAATTCACTCTAGTGGAATTCACACCACAGACCAGAACCAAGGAGAACCAGAACCAGAACCAGATCACAGAACACAGGCTGCTGTTCCTTCTTCTTCTCTACCACTAGTTTTTCTACCAGAGAAATCGTTTTCCTGGTGTTTCTGTGGACAGCCGTATTCATGACCGCCGTAATCACAGTTCAGCGTTAGCACAGTTAGCACAGTTAGCACAGTTAGCACAGTTAGCACAGTTAGCTCGACAGTGAGCTGTATTAGAACACGGAGCAGCGTAATCACAGTTCAAACTCATCCACATCCAAACCGCGTTCTCTGTAACAGAAGAACTCCCGACACAGAGCAGAATAATGAGGTTGTTGGTTTGGATCTCATCTTATCAGTCCGTCTCTGCCCATATATGAATACATAACGCGGCGTCCTGTTCCAGCCAGGCTGTTTGTCCAATGAAGTCACTCCTCAAACTCACTCGCTCTGACAGGAAGTTCATAAACGAGACACGTTTCCCAAAATTCTATCGGTGTTAGTTTTGTTCTGGCAGCTCGCCGCCGTTCTCACAACAAAGTGAAACCTGGTTCTGGACTTCGTGTACATGTAAGGAGTGTTTGAGCGGAACACGGCAGAGGCACAGGGACCAGTCAGAACCGGTTTTTACGACACCTGTAGAACCGATCAGACATCCGTCTGAGGACTTTCTGACTGACAAACACTGACTACTCTCTAATTGTTGTCACCGTTAACAATGCTAGTGGGGGGAGTAGGGCGTGAGGTGGGGGGGCCATGGGGGGGCTGTGCTGAGGGGGCCCGGGTCCCTTCCTGTCGGCTGTCCAGCCTTAATTAGTACCAGGTCCAAACACCTCCGTTCACTGGAGAGTCACTTCAGGGAGCAGTTCCCACCACGCTCCCACGTCTCTGCCTCTGACCTTTGACCTCTCTCGTCCTGTAGGCTTCAACAAGCATTTCTGGAGCTGATGTGGAATGTTCTGGTTTTTTAATCCGGAATAAAGATGAAGTTTTCAGAAATCAAGAACCAGAACTTGTTAAACTCAAACGTGAGTTCTCCAGTTCCCAACGACAGACTGAGGCCCAGGTGGGAAACGTTACAGTGACATTAGAACGACCAAAACCCTGGGTGTG